TCATGCTCTCTCTCTCTCATTCTCTCTCTCAAATAAATAAATAAAATCTTTAAAAAAAAAAAAAAAACCTGATTTAGATTTTACCTCTTCCTGAAAACATTCTTGATTTATTCTACTTGGTCCTTTTAGTAACTTTGACGAACATTTCACTGATACTTTTTTTTTTCCCCTACTAGAGTCTCTCTGGCTCTTTTTTTTTTTTTTTAAGATTTATTTATTTATTTTAGAGAGAGCACAAGCAGGAGGGGGAGAAGGAAAAGAGTATCTCAAGGAGACTCCACACTAAGTGTGGAGCCCAACACAAGGTGCAGTCTCACAACCCTGAGATCATGACTTGAGCTGAGACCAAGGGTGGGATACCCAACCAACTGTGCCACTCAGGCACCTACCTGCCTACGAGAGTCTCTTGAACTTGGTTTTATTTTCTGTTTTAGTCATAAACTCATTAAAAGCAGGAACTATCCTTTTTATCTATTCCCCATAGTATTTTATTCAGAGGGTCATGAATAGTTTAATTCACTACAGTGCTTATGCAACTCAAATATTAGTTATTACACACTCGCCTTCTAGGACAGTGGGTCACATATTCCAACTTGACTAACAATTAGGAGAGCTATTTTAAAAGTTAGACTCAAGATTCCCAAGTGATTCTAATGCAGATATTCTAAGAACTGTTTGAGAAATATTTGGGGTTTTTTTTTAAGATTTTATTTATTTATTTGAGAGAGAACGAGCAGGTGGGGGAAGGCAGAGGGAGAAGCAGGCTCTCTGCGGAGCAAGGAGCACAATGCAGGGCTTGATCCCAGGACCCTGGGATCATGACCTGAGCCAAAGGCAGACGCTTAATGACTGAGCCACCCAGGCGTTCCTATGTTCCAGGTTTTAAAAATACAATAACAACACAGGTATAGCCCTCACCCCTAAGAAACCAAGTAAACAAAAAAGCAAGTTATTACAGACTGTGATAAGTGCTTTTAAGGAATCAAACTTTTACCTTCAATCTAAAATAAATTGGCTTGAAATCCTAAAAAAAAAAAAAAAAAAGTCACCACTTCCCGGGATCATGAAGGGAGTTTTCACCAAAATGCATTTCAGAATTGGAAATGAAAGCTTTCCTGACAAACATGAAATTCTCAATATATCCATCCTGTTGCAGTGTCAACTGCATTCTGAGATCTTGCTCGTGAAGGAGGTAGTTTCTGAAATTGTCTGGATACATCATCGATCATTCTGAGCAATTCAGAGCTAAGATAGCCAATTTAGATTCAGTCTTGCAGCTGCCGTTAAAGTTTTGCTGCTTCACCTTTCAAATTTCATTTTCTTTGCCCACAATCTCAGCAAAAGGGCAGAAACAGTACATAGTTCATCAGCATTTCTGATTGCATAGTATTTTATTGTGTTCTTAATTTGGGCTTCAATTTAAATAAAGGGAGTAGATTTAGATGAGATGATCTCTAAAAAAAATCTCTTAGGGCTATCGTGTAACCCGATTCTGTGACAAAAGGCTTCTGGATTTGACCAAGGTTGTTGAGAGTAGTTTGAATACTGATGAGAAATCGAGGCCAGATTTCTTTTGAAAGAGAGAATTTGGGAAGTGGGAAAAACAGAAAAAGTTATTTTTGAAAACATGGTGTAGGAAAGGATGGAAACTTGGAGATTGAAAGGGACTTTAAGTGGGGAAGAGTTGAGGAGGTTTGTAGGCTGAGAGGAAGGTGGTAATTGAAAGGGACATAGCAAAAGACGGTATTATCATTGGAGGAAAGCCCTTGAAAGGGGGACGGGATGAGGGATCAGCCCTAGTAAGGACGGGGAAATTACTTTCTAAAAGAGAAGAGGAGCAGGGAAAATGTGGTAAGTCAGACGGAAGGGGGGCTGATTGGAGCAGTTGTAGGAGATGGCCCGTCATTTCAGATCAGGTCAGGAGCTGAGGGTGGTCACAGCTGGTGGCGCTACCACGGCAGTGGACTGGGGGATGACGGAACAGCTGCAGAGACTGGATGTTAACTGGGGGGCCATAGTTAGGAGATGTTCTGTACACAGGGAGTTTCCATAGTGTCCATGAACCAGAAATGCTGTGTAAGCTTAGAAGGCATTTTCATATGTTGTATCACAACAAACATGTCAGCCCAGATGATATTTACTAATCATTTAAAAATATGCAAACTTAAGCCCAGTGATTGTAGATTTGCTTAGGTGTCATACATCTAATAAGTATTGTCATGTATAGTTTTCATTTAAAAGGCTTTGGGTTTTTTTCCCCTTTTTCTGTTTTAATATTTTGTCTTACATTCTTATGTCTAGAAATTTTGCTTATTAGGTCTCTAAGGCATGAGGTTAAATTTTGATGATAGGGCGCCTGGGTGGCTCAGTCGGTTAAGCGACTGCCTTCGGCTCAGGTCATGATCCTGGAGGCCCGGGATCGAGTCCCGCATCGGGCTCCCTGCTCAGCAAGGAGCCTGCTTCTCCCTCTGACCCTCCCCCCTCTCATGCTCTCTCTCTCATTCTCTCT